GAGTTGTGATGGTAGAAATAACAAGATTTGGCATGACTGGCTATGTGGGGAGAATTCCATTTTAAACATTAGAATTTAAGATATTTGTCGGCCATGCTGTTTGAAATAACCAGAAGGCAACTGAGACTGGAGTGAGACAGGCGCTCTGGGAAGAAACTGGAGCTGGATATACAGATTTAGATCTAGGAATCATCTAGATAGAGATAGCCGTTGGAGAGCCACTGAGGTTACAGAAAGAACACTAAGAAGAAGGCCCAAGACCTGGGGAACCCCTACAATTAGGGAGTATGACAGGGAAGGAACAGTCAGAGAAGGAGGAAATGAAGCAGGAAGAGGAGAGTGTCACCAAAACCTAGAGAGGAGACTACATCTAGGACGAGGTCATCAGTAATGTCAAATGAAGCTGAAAGGTGGAGGACTGAGAAGCTTTGACAAATAAGAGATCATGGGAGAGGAAATGGACATGGTTGAGTTTGGACGGCTTTTTCCAAGGTGTTTGGCTGAAACAGAGCTGAAGAGATACAGAATGACGGGTTGAGGGGATGACAGGGTCTAGTGAAGGTTTTTTTAAGGGTGGGGAAGGTGGGCATGTTTGAAGACACTCTGAAGGAACCAGCTGGAGAGACTGAAGTTTCCAGGTATAGGAGGTGGACATAGGATGCAATCTGTCCCTAAAGATGGGAGGGGATGGGATCAAGTAGGCATTAATGAGAAAGGAAAACCTTTTTGTTAAACTGGTGGATAAGAAAAAAGAGGAGTTGATTTTAAGGTATTTTGAGATAAGAATAGCGGAAGAAAGAGCTCACATCAAATGCCTTTTTCTTTTTTTCCAATTAAAGTAAGAGGCAAGGGTTCTTAGATGAGAGAGGTATGGGGGCTTGAGGAGAGAAGAGAATGTCTGCAATAGCTTGTGGACAGTGAAATACAAATCTCTCTTAATATATCAATACTCCAAAGATCACTTCTGATCAAAACCTTAAGAGAGTCATAAAGAGGAAGTTTAGAAGTGAAAAACATACCAGGATACCAAAGAAGTCTTATCTCCTATCTCTTCACACCTATGAGGTGGACTTTTCTTCCCTACAAGTACCCTGATAGTCCAGAAAACTGGGTTCTGGTTCTGTTCTACCACTATCAACGTAACACTGGTCAAGTCAGTCAACCTCTTTGGAATTCAGCACCCTCATCTATAAAATGAGGGAGTTAAACTCAGATCACCTCTAAAGCTGACTTAAAACTCTAAGGACCAAAGTCCTAGAACACTCAGTCTGTAAACATAATTACAAAAAGAAATAATGTTACAGGTTACATAATTAAACCAAGGACCAGTTCAAATAGCAACTTCGCTGCTTATTATCAGTGACACCAGGCAAATTGTACCCCCTCCTCAACTTCTCTGGCCCTCAGTTTACTAATCTGCAAAATGAAGGAGTTGGGCCTCTTTCCCTTTTAAAACTAAGATCCCATCAACTTGTCTTTCTCCTCTTCAGATGTCTTATATGGCAACAGCTGTATTTCAAATAGTTACTAAGCAATTTGCTTTTTTATCTTTTTTTTCTTTCAAACATAAAAAGGTCTTCTTCCATAAATCCTTCACAGCTCAATACAATCTCTCCCACCTCATAGTTCAACAGCATATAATGTTTCTACCACTCATTTGGCAAAAAGTTATGTAGCACAGTGTGGTACCTCTTTGTATTATTATCTAGTACCTCCCTCAAACTGGAAAGTTAGGACCCTGGAGAGTCCACAGTTCTTTACAGTTCTCCTATCACCTAAATCACTTAAGTTTCCAAAACTTTGCACAGTGTGGGGAAAGAGAGGGAGTGATTAAAGAATGATTTAATAAGGAAGCATTAAAAAACAGCTCAGTATTATAATGGGTAAGTGGGAGGAAGAGAGAGATCCAGAAGATATTTAGACGATCTCTCGAAAGAAAGAAAAAGAAAAGGAAAGAAAGAAAAGAAAGAAAAGAAGGAAGGAAGAAAGAGAGAGAGAGAGAGAGAGAGAGAGAGAAAGAAAGAAAGAAAGAAAGAAAGAAAGAAAGAAAGAAAGAAAGAAAGAAAGAAAGAAAGAAAGAAAGATCTGGTTATTCTCTTTTGGAGAAGTGGGAAGAGGCTAGATCTGTGATTTCATTGGTATATGCAACTCCCAGTAAGGAAATTCTTTCTATCAAAGCACAGCAGCTTTGAAAATCAGTCTTAGAGTTGCCTGAGGGTACTGAGAGTGACTTTGGTCACAAAACCAGTATGTGTCACAGCCAGAACATGGACCCAAGTCTTCTTAACTCTTCCAGCAATTCTGTTGTCCACGCCATAATGCCTCCTCCAGGATACCTCCCTACATACATACACACATACACATATATTAACATACATACACTCAAGAGCACACCTGATTCACAAATACGTTGGAAGATGATCAATTATAACATTATCAAAAATCAAATGAACAACCAGAAAAAAGTTACAGACCTCTGTCCTAATCACCAGGTAATATTGCTTTCCAGTTCATCAATTTACCATGTTTTTCCCAAAATAAATATCTGCTCAATTAACTATCTTCACTTGCCTACAACCTTACAGTTATAGTCAAATATCTTTGCAGATATTTGATGGCAGAAGGAATTTCTCCGAGCAGACAGTAGAAGTTGTCATAATAAATGTGTCACCAAACAGGCTGATTTTATCAACTATTCATGAGAAGTTGGCCTTAGCCTGACATGTAACTAAGTCTATTTTAGAATCTTAACATCAAAATTTTCAGATTTATGAAGCTTCAACTTGAAAGTCAAGATGTAAGGCATAGGTATTTTAGCACCTAACCAACAAAACTCAAGAAACTCTTTACATGTCCAACAGAATCCTCATTACTAAAACCTAACAAGGCAGACTTCTCTAACATAGAAATGGAACACACCTTCCAAGGGCAACAACCCAATTCTATCCAAACTCCTCACCTGAAAAGTTTCTATTTTATCTGGTTCCTTTTTCTGACCTCTCAGTGATTTAACAGGAAAAAAAAAGTTATCTCTAAAAAGCAAACCACTACAAATCCTGGGAGTCCAAGTCCTGAGCCTGCTAATAATTAGGCACCGTCAAAAAAAACCAAAACAACATTACAGTGTTGTAGCTGTTGGGCCATACTATATGTAAAAGACAGGGCCCATGGTTACCACAGAAAGAAGGCAGCCTTCAATTCCTTACTCAATAAAACAGGATCAAATTCCACAGACAAAAATGGTACCCTGGTTTGTTTGTTTTTAGAGGAAGATTAAATTTGGGAGTTAGCAACACCCAAACAGAAAACATTCCACAGTATTTAGACTCAATTGTACTTGGAGTCATCTACATTCCCAGCACTACATTCTCCAGCTAAGGGCATGGGTATTAACAAAAGATGTTTCTCAAGATCTCACGTGATAACACCCTATTTATTTCCCCCACTAAACATTGCTCTTCATATAAAGAGAATGGTGCTTGAGGGAATTATTTCAGAAGAAATAAGTACCAAAAAAAAAATGTTAATATCAGCCAAGATACAGTAGTTTGGCTCAACTCTTTCAGAAAGATGAAAAGTGAGAAATGTTTGAAAGTGAAGCAGGCCATTTTCATTTGAATCAACTCTCTTTTTTAAAAATAAAGTTGAGGAATGTAGTTTTCCTCAAGCCTTTTGTCTTCAGTTTCCCAACAATCTTTATATTTTTAACTAAAAAAAAAAACCCTAGAAATTTGATTACCATTCTTATGAATTCCTTTTAAAGTAATTTAATGAATACCAGATCTTTTTGTGCAAGTAGCAAACCACAGAGGACAGTTTTGTTGACTGATAAAAAATATCTTTCTCCCTCTTAAACACACAGAGAACTGCTGCATTTTTCTACTTCAGGAATTCCTATGAGATTCAAAACTGGAGTCCACTCAAACCTACACCTTCACTTACCACAAATGGTATGAACGAAGTGCAATTTTAAAAAAAGCACTAAATACTTAACATAGCTGTATAATGAATTATCAAAGTAAGTGAACAAAATACCGAAATGGGCTGCAGGAGTAAAAACAATGGAAAATATGATCAAAGAGATAACGACAGAATTGATGAAGTAAGATGGGTGAATTTAATATCCAAAAAGTTTAAATTCACCCCTCTGGTCCCAAAAAGGACCAAGGATAGAGGACGGTGACCGACACCAGATCAAACTTTTTCTCTCACTTCTCCAATGGGAAGGTGCCTGATGCTTCCCGTGAGTCTGAGTTGTCCCTGAAAATTATTTGGGAAGAAAACAAAACACAACCTCCAAATACTTGCCCTGAATTCACCATTTAGATTTTCCGGGTGGCCAATCACACTTTTCTAATTATTGTATTTTTAAAAACGCACCTTCTTAGTTAACAAAATCTGAGTGCTGCAGTTCATTCATTTTTTAAACATTTTATTTTTTAAAAAAAGGGATGGGGGTAATGTGTGTGTGTGAACCAACTCTGAGAAGACACATCTATAGGTATGTAAAAGATGGGGCAGTTAAACCACCCCAACCTCGGACTTCAAAGCAAAATGACTGTCTTCAATTCTACTAAGTCACAGATTTGCTTACAGATGGCCGTAGACAGTGAATGGGGAAGAGGCTAAAAAAAAAATGCAAACAAAACTTCAAAAACTCTTCACTGTAGCAAGCAAAACTGGCAAGCTAAAGTAGGGAAAAGAGGTTTGGTTTCTAGCAGTGTGTAGGAAAGCTCCTGGGTCGGACAGATTATCTTGTGAATGCCCCCAAACACGTGTTTCAAAGTTTCTGCAAATTCAAAAGTATTCAAAGAAGCCATGTAGTCCCGGGTGAAGCCCCCACCTCCCCCCCAATCACTGGATCCTCGCCCACGAAGGTGGAGAGGAGGGAAGGCGGAGGACTGCCGGACAAAACTTTGAGCTCGGGAGCTCCCGAGGGAGGGAGGGATCCCGCGGAAAGCTGCGGAAGCCCCGGACGCTTCCTCCTCACCCCAGCTCACCTCGGCTGCGGGAATATTCACGACTCCCGTGGATCGCCTCTTCTCCCGCAGCTTCCTCTTCTCGATCTGCCCCTTGCCTTTCCTGGCACTGGGGCCCGAGCTCTTCCCTTTCTCTTTGGCACTGTCCTGCTCCACCCTGTCGCCCAAGGGGGGCTGCACCCCGGCGTCGGGGCCGGCTCGGCTCCCCGCGGGGGGGCCGTGGGACGAGGCGCCCGCAGCCGCAGCTAGCCCGGCGGCGGAGGTGCTGGGGAGCTCCTCCTCGGCTCTGCGGGGGTCAGGGGGGGCTCGGGCCGCTGCCGAGCCCGAGGCGGAGGGAAGCGTGTAATTGACGCCCCCGGGGGCGGGGGCAGCAGGTGCCGGCGCGCTCGGGGGGACGTTATTGTTGAGCTCGTTGGCCAGGGGGGCAGGCGAGGCGGAGGAGGGGGGAGCCCCCAGCGCTCCGGCCAGAAGCTTGCCGACCCCGTCACTAGCCACCCCTCCGCCTCCCACCACGCTCGCGGGGACCGCAATCAGGCCCTGGGGGCTTTGCTTGGCTCGCATCTTCTCCCTCTTCGCCTTCCATTCCTCCAGGAAGTCGGTGGTGGTGGTGGTGCCGGTGCCGCCGCCGCCGCCTCCGCCGCCGGTCCGGTAGCCACCAGTCGCCATATTCCCAGAGGGGACGGGTGAGCCCCTCTCCCCCCAGAGCCCACCCCCAGTCCCGGTACTGCACCTCCTCCTCCTCCTCCTCCTTCCAGCCCCAGCAGCGGCACTCCCCTCCTTCCCGCGGCAGAGGCTCAGAGGGCCAACCAGGTCCGGGGAGAACTAGAGGGGACGACCCCCGGGCGGGGGCGACCGCGCCACTCCCCCTGCAGGAAGAAACACAAAAGGGGAGGGGGCGAGAAGGGGGGCAAGAGGTGAGAGAAGGGGGATCCGGGCCCCTCTGCACTCCCCCGCCCTCCAAGCACACTCCCCCCCGCCCCCGTCCTGGCACACACCGCCCCCAAGGCTGACCACTCGCACACGCCAGAGATGACCACCCCATCCCCAAATACAGCTCGAGCCCCTCTCCACACCCCACCACTTTCAGCGATCTTCCCCATATGGGGCGCGTTCTGGAAAATGGGGAGGGGACGTACTCTAGAGGGCGTCATAATTAACTTAGTAAGATTTTACAGGGAGTTGGACATGGGGGATGGGGGGGTGGTAGCTAAGCCTTCCCTTCCCGAGGGGCTTAACCCCCCCGATCCGCCCCCCAGCCCCCGGCTATTGCACCTCCACTCAACTTTGCAAACCAGCTGGAAGGAGGCGGAATGGGGGAGAAGAAATACACCTCCACCTGCCAGCCGACCACACTTCCCTTCTCTCCCGAAACTCAAAACCCACCCCCCAAAAAAGTAAATAAATATCCCCACCGAGGGCAGCCTCTCACCCCAGCTGGGCACGGGGGCCCAGAACCCTGTCCACGCCTTTCCCAGCGGGAGGCGGGAACCTGTCCCGACACATGTACGCCCTGGTCCCGCCGCGGCGCGCCCCCCCCCACCGTCCTTTCCAGCCCCCGGGCAAAAGTGTCGGGCGCCCGAGCCCACTCACCCCGCGAGGGTCCGGCGGCGGCGCTGGTAGCGGCCTCGCAGCCCCAGGTGAGCGCGGCAGCCCCGACAGCTGCGTGCGGCTGCCTCGCCCCTCGCCGCCCGCCCGCCTGCCTCCCAGTCCCGGAAGGAGCGGCGGCAAACTCTTTTTCCCCGAGTTCCCAGTTCTCTCCAGGGAGAGAGCCGAGAGAAGCCGAAGCGCCGGCGGAAAGGACCGAGGCGGATCTCGCTGCGGAGAGGGGGAGGGAGGGCTGGGGTGGGGTGGGGGCCGGAGTCGGAGGGAGGACGCCCCGGCTGAGCTGATTGGTTTGTGGCGTAGACCCCGCCCTCTGGCCAATCCTCTCCGGATCCGCCCCCCCCCCCCCCCCGGTGGGGCTCAGGTGCGAGGCGCTCGGGACCTAGGTGCTTCCCTCCCAGCTCCCCTCGGTGCCTCCGCCCTGCGCTCTCCTCTGCCCTTCCCTCCTAGCTCTGCAAACCTTGGGAGGCGGCGCTGCTGCAGATAGGGGGCACACCTCTCCTGTCCCCAGTACCGTCTGGAGTGTGGCGAGCTAACCTGCCCCCCTTCCCCAGGGCCATCTCCAATCGCCCCGGTCTATATCTGGCCACTGGACCCAGATGGCTCGGGAGGAGAAAGTGAGGCTAATGCCTTTGCGCAGTCCTGTCTCACTTAAATCCAGTTCACTTGCATGTCATGACATCCCTTCCCAGATGTCTTCAAGAACGAAGTACAAACAATAGCAAGGGTGCCTGACTGGAGTACCGATGGATCGGTGCCCAGCACCTCTTTTGAGAGTGAACGTAGGTTCACGTTTGGCTCAATCCACAAGCGCTTACTCTGTGTCAGATACTGGGCCCAAGCACTAAGCTTTACAAAGGAAAGCAAAACTCGTTCCTGGCCGCAAACAGTGTCCGCTCCTCTCCACCTCCTCCCTCCCGCAGCCTTCTGGGATCATCGCTCACACCACGCCCTCCACCTCACACCACCCGCACATACATGCCGGCACCTTTCAACTCATTGTACCTACCCCTTTTAATGCCTCAGATTCTTCTTGCCTGTAAAGGAATTTATCTGTCCTCCCAGGCTGGGGAGGGTTAACTACCATCAATTCTTGATTATTCGGGATCTAAAAATCAATGTCAAGAGTTATCTAGATCCTTGGCTTTACACTGTTCAGACTGGATAGTAGGTTGGGAAGAACTGAATCAGAACCCTAAACAACCTTAGATTTTAGGACTAGGCTGGCCGTTAAAGATGACCTTACTCATTCCTCTCTTAAAAAAGAAATCACTTTTACTTGCATTTATAATCTGTCCCTTCTACTTCCTCACCGTAGACCCCCTCCAAAAAAATAAACAAATAAGGAGCAAAGTCTCATCATAATAATACATAGTTCAGCTAAACAAATTACCATGCCCAAAATCATGCTCACTTTTTATAGATGTGGGAACTGAAGCACAGAGAAGATAAGTGTCTTGGCCAAGGCCACAGGTTCTCAGATTGCAAATCCAGCAGTTTTCCCACTATTCCAAATTGTCTTCTGACAATACTGGTGAAAGACTTGGAAAGGGAAAAGAAAAGTAGAGTGAAAAAGTTGAAAAGAAAGAAGGAAGAGAGAGACAGAGACAGAGAGGGAGGGGGGAGAGAGAGATTAAAAAGAGAGTAATCAATATTTAGGGCAAGTGTAGGGTAAAGCTATCCCATTCTAGAGTTAATACCTTAACTATGAAAGAACATTTTTTTGATGGAATCAGACTATTAGACTGAAACAAACTATCAGAGGGTAAAAAGGATCTGTATAGAATAACAAGCGGTTTATATGAAAAGGAAGACACTATCTCAGAACCATCAAGGAAAGATTCTGCCGGGAATGGATTGTCGAGATAAGAGCAATCTCGGCATCTTCAGCCCAACTTTGAGGAGCAAAGAAGGGACTTAGTTGCCACCAAGAGGGAGATTTTGATAAGAGTCATTGGCTCTATAGGGGTCTCAGAGCAGAGAACACAGGCTTAGGGAAATCCTAAGATAAGGTGAGCTCTTTGCCCAGCTTTCCCTCCTGGTATCTCTCTATCCCTAGACACTAAATTCAAATCAGTTGGTCAGTCATGTCCAACTCTTGGTGACCCCATTTGGGGTTTTCTTGGCAAAGAGACTGGAGTGGTTTGCCATTTTCTTCTCTAACTCATTTGACAAATAAGGAAACTGAGGCAAAGGGTTAAGTGATTTGCCCAGAGTCACACAGGTAGTGTCTGAGGCCAGATTTGAACTCAGGAAGAAGAGTCTTCCTGACTCCAGGCCCAGCACTCTATCTAGTGCCACTACTGCCCTATATAAAAATATAATCTATTTATAATATAATAGCTGAATTTTGCCTCAAACACAAGGAAGCTAAGGATTAACTAGGGATAGATATCAATGTAAAGTTAGGCAGAGAATTCAAACTCTGTCTAGGTATGAAGAATTTTCTTAACTGGGGGCTCAGAGCTATATTGTAACAGAACTCAAAAATTTTCAATCTAAAATAAACTACCTGAAGTTGAAAAGAAGGGAACCATATGGATTTTAGTGTACCTTAGATTGACCCCAGCTCTTAAAATGAACTAATTATTGTAACTGCCTGATACAACAAAGCAGCACAACAAATATTTCTATAGTGGCAGGGAGGAAGGGACCCCTGGAAGTCCTCATAGGAAGAATAGATTGGTGAAAAAGCAGGAAGTGGAAAAATCTATTCTTGAACTTACAGATTTCATTTATTTCATTGTCCTTGAAAAGCCTCCTGGCTACCCTTTGGGGCAAACCGAGAATAGAGATACTTGGAAGTCAGAATGAGGATTCCTGCCTACCACATAGTGGCAGCAGACTTTGGGAGTAAGACTCAGCAACTCATACTTTCATCTTTAGTGATCTGGACCAGTGCATAAAAGCAAGCCAAGACAGGAAGGTGAATTGATTGGTTTTAGGGCTGGACCTGATGCCAGTACCCTGTGAGCTTCAGTGCAATGTTGGGACAAAATAAGACTTAACCCTAACATAGCAAGCATGTGCAACAGGATGTAGTGGCTTTTATATATACCACCCTTCTCCACATGGAAACAAGTCTGGTCAGCAGGACAGGGTTGGACACTTCAGTGGATAATTATTATAGTGACATACTGTCTTTTTGTGGACCTAAGGTAGGTAGCACATTAGCTAATAAGAGTTTCTTACACTACTGCAGTGCCCAAAGTGTCATATCCACCATGTTGGAGGGGTACCAACCCAAGTAAGTAGGGCCATATATGCCACTAAGTGACCAGGAAGGCACATCAACATAGCCAGTAGCCAACAGGAAGCTGTATCCAGGGAAGCACAGCTTGAGCCTTGCCACACCTCCAGATAATCAAGTCCTGATTTTGTTGCCTTCTAGGGAAAATCTAGCCCAACCTATATTATTAGTGAGTTGTAAGGTTAGTAGAGAGAATTCTAGCAGATATTGGTTTTATCAAAATCAGGGACCAGTGCATGTAGCAAGAAGATTAATGATCAGCGTGCTGAGCTGAATTCAGATCAGCAACTAGATGTGGTCATTTTTAAGTTTCCTATCATTTAGTAAGACAGGGAGAAGGAAAGTTTTCCTTCCTGAATTTCCCCTGGTATCTCTGCACGTAGTCTGGATCCAAAACTGAGTCCCAGATACACATACACACATTTTTTTTTTTTGGCTAGGCAATGGGGTTAAATGACTTGCCCAGGGTCACACAGCTAGTAAGTGTTATGTGTCTGAGGCCAGATTTGAACTCAGATCCTCCTGACTCCAAGACCAGTGCTCTATCCACTGTGCCACCTAGCTGCCCCCCACACACATTTCTAAAGACCATTCTCTTCCTTTACTCACTTTCCAAGACCTGAAAGTATTGGAAGAGGTTCAGAAGATGAATGAATGATGCTCCAGGCAGGAGTTCCTGATTTATTCCTTTTCCATTTTCTTCTATGTTCAATAAACTGTAAGGCCATGGTAAATTGAGCGACTGTGTTCTATAAATGTGAGGATTATCTGTACTGAAAGAAGATATTTCCAATGTGGAGTAGGCATAACTAGAATCATACACTTTAAATTTTAATATTTTTAGTGATATTTTCTTTTTCATGTCCTAACTTAAAGTCATCTCCTTGTCAACA